AAGATATGTACATGAATTTGAAGCTATATTGGGGGGGAAGTTATTGCAGGTGTTTACTTTGAGATACTTAACCATATTATTTTTTGAAAGATAATATACTTTACCAATGAAACACTATCAAATAAGTTGTAAAGTTAAACTAGAACATCAGGGTTAAACTAGACACCAACAACACGAACAAGAGAGTCAAATTGAATCTGGTTTTCCATACAGTGTCTGTAGGAGACACTGTATGATTCTGCTTCTATAACCTCAAAGCACTATGACTGTAGCCAAAAAGGCTATTTGTAACTTCTTTCTGCAACTATTTCTCCAGTGTATATTCTATCAGCCTGGAAACTATACAATCACATTGTCCTTGCCTTTGTTTTACTGTGTATTTCAGCAGTACGATCGTGCCATTTGAAGACAATCTGACATTGTGTATCATCGCCGTCCCAGTCTGTCTTCCGCCTAATACTGAAGGAAACCTTTTTGCACAATGGAGTTTGAGCAGAGGTCACAGCCTGGCAGACAACAGGAACAGCAAAGAGTTTTAAGAAACTCAAGGCAGTTGCAGGCAGAAACAAGCAGGTAGTCTTGGGACACCTCCAGCCCACAGCAGAGGAGGAAACTCTGGCTATCTGGTGACACTTGGAACTAGCTGGACAGGGTAAGTGGGCTTCAGAACATATGTATGCAATTCAGTAGGACAGGCAGCTTGCCTCCAGCTACTGAGAGAGCAGCTGAAGCTGTGTACAGAAGCCTCATCTCTACAATTAGCTGTCCCCTAGCTCTGAGTGTTGCAATAATTTTTGCCATGTGCAGTGATCAGGACACTGATGAGACAAAAGGAATGTTTCTTGAAACTATGATCTAGAATTCAGCTTCTGATATAAAAGCATGGTTGCTTAAGAAAAAACAGAAGTATGATGGGAGGAAACTTTAAAATTAAAACTAAACCATCCACTTTTGTTGTCCCCTTCGCTTACGTACCTAGCACATTTCCTTTCTTGTTCATCTGTTATGGTTTAACTCCCCAAAACCCTCAACCAAACCCATCTCCCACAATACCCCAAACAAAATTGCACTGATCATCTTGACAAGCAGTCCTAGAATCCAAAGAATCTGTACAGTCAAAAGGCAATTTTTAGCTTTCAAAAATATTGACTATACAAGGCCTCAGATGTCTAACTGAATAGTTCTGATTATATACACATGTAGGGCAGTGGTACACGCCTTGCACAGTTCCTTTCTCACTCAGGAGTCTATTATTTGGTATGATCTGAGAGTCAATTAGATATTAAGGTGAGATGTAGCAAATCCTATCACTTCAAATCCTTTTTACATTTTGTAGTATGAAGTTATGAAGCATAAACTTACTCCTTTTCTCCCAGTTGTTTCTGGATGTAAATCAGAAAATAAATGCATGGAATATTTAAAGAAAGCTGCAAAAGGCCACATAAAATGCTACATTCTTCAGACTGACTGGGAGAAGTTTGAATCCAATATATTGGTTTTATCGGTACAAAATATTTCAGGATAACTTGGATAAATTGACTTAAAACTACAACAGAATACTGCAATGGACAAAGAAAGAATGCAATTATATAGCTCTCCACACTCATTTTTTCTTGAAGAATTATAAATGCTACATTGGTTTCTTAAAATGTAACATGGCTACAGAACAATATATAATTTTAAAATGTGAAAGAGTTTAATGGGCCATATGCTACTAGAGGAAATGAGTTTCTGAATTTGTGATCAAATGCATGTATAGAGAGTAACTACGCCTTTTTTTCTTTGCAAGATTTTTTCAGAATTATATTCCTTACAAGTGGTGCTTAAAATAATTTATTGGATAGTATCACCACTCCTCCCTAAGTAGGAGGACAGAAGTGAAGGATGGTCCTAATGAGGATTGCTTCTGTGGATCATGCAGTGGGGAAGCTCACCTCATGAAAAATGCTGTTGTCTATGTAGGTATGACATTTGTTATTCCAGGCTGCAAGGGGGCAATTTGACTCGGGGCTCTGTGCCTTCATAAACTGGGACTCACAGATCTGTTCCTAGGCTATGTGAAAAATGGTTTTGAGACTGTGACATTATCACATTCTTTCCTGGTTAGTCTGTGTCCTTACCCATTTGGCAGCCTCCCCCTGTCCAGATCTGAGCTATCCTTGTCACCTCTGCAGTAAAGAAATCACTGAGATAATTGCATCCTGTTATTTAGCATTCTGGTTTCTAAAACTCCACTTTGTGATGAGTTATTGTGTCCTTCTCACATCAGGTGTTTCATGCAGTACAGCTCAACTGGCATTTTTTTAGGAGCCCTGATGTGAAGTGACATATTCTGTACTTCAGTAAAAGATTTACATTTCAGACTGCAGGATTTATGTTCTTGTCAGTGCAAGGGGTAAGTAGACTACTGAACTGTAATCAGTGTATGTGAGATAAGATTTGGTCTTGGGAAACTTCTCAGAATAGCTACAACCTATCAATGGGGTTTGCTGTGGTCTTGTCCCCTCTCTTGAATCAATGTTGCTTAATGTGTAGTTTTGTAATAAGCCACTTCAAGAGTTGATCTTGTTGAAAACTGCTTTTTTTGTATACCTGATTTTTGGTTTTATTCCCTGAACCACGTTATTGTGGATTTGCACAAGTTCCACTGCTGGTCTAGCAAAGGGGCTTAAAATGATGAAGGTAGAAGGTAAATAAAGAGTGTGGAAGCTTGAACTTAATCTGTGAAATTTCATCAATTGTTTTGGGGGTGGAAAAGAGGACAATGAAGGAACTACCTTGTAGAGTATGTTGCAGCGGCTGTTGTTTACATTCACATATAAATTCATATTCAAAGTTTAGTCATGGGGTTTTTTTATCTCTATCCTCTTTGTGTTTGTTTCCCTGCTTGTGCATATGCTTAAAAATCTATTTTACAGACATTTTCATTGATCATATTTTGACCATTTGTGAAACATGGTCCCAGACAACACTAATGACTATGTCACTCAAATATTTTTCTGAGAGTCAAGGATCTCCAAACTATCAGAATATATGAGCAATTGCTCTTTTTATCAAATAACAAAAATGCCTTCTAAGGGAGATCTTGAATTACTTATTCTGGTTAATTGTATGGATAGATTTTTATCCCAGCAGAAAATAAGCATCTCCTTCATTGAGTAATGTGGCTAGATTATTCACTCCAGATACAAGGTAGCTGAACTGAGTTCCTTCCTCTTCAGGAGACAGATCTTATGCTTCTAAACAGAGTGCCATAAATACTCAGCTCTCAGAAGAGTGCTCTTGCTGTGCACTCGTGAAACTGTCTAAATGAAAAGTACATTGAGCAAGGGCCCAGCATCCTCCTGAGTGACTGTTCAAACAATGGAGCTGAAGGTTCATTGCTTCCCTGTTCCAATCAAGGCAGGAGCAAAACCAAACCTGGCTTCTGTCAAGTATTCTAGCTAGGAGCTGGGGGAATCTTCTCGAGTGGGGTGCTCTTGTTGAAGTTGTTTCACCTTCTGTAAAATACTTCAGTAAATGTCAAGAGGCCACGATGTGAGACATCAACATGAGGTCTCCTCAGGCCTTGTAAACTACAGAAGAAAATGATGTTTCTTTATAGTGCAGTTTTATGACTTCTCAGATTTCCTCATATGAGTGTCCCAAAATGAAACTTTTTGTTTTGGGCTGGAAAGATTAATTTTGTGGTAAACAGACCAGAACTTTTCTATCTCCTATTTCAATCACAAAGAGATGACAAAAATAAGTTTAGCTTGATACAAACCAAATATGATTTTCCTTTTTCTTTGATTCAAGAGCAGAAGTCCCAGTTGAAAGGACCTCAGAATTCTGGAGACCTTTGCCTTTCCATTTTTATTAATGTATGTATCACTTCTTCATTGTTTAAACACCTTTATGTGGACAGCTATCAAGTACTGTATTGCTTCAGAACTGTTCACTCTAACATTCTTAATAATTTATAATACTTTACTAGATGTGTTAGAATTATATGACATAATACTGTGTCTTTCTTGACCATGTAAACAAAGGAAACTAATTTTATGGCTCAAATATAAATACTAATACTGGTACCAGATTTATCATACCTGCATATTGACATAATCCAATAAAACAATCCTGCTGAATATTTTTTAAAACAAGTGAGTATAAGGGGTGGCACTACAGCAAAATTGTAAGAGATTTGTAAATATCTTCATAAATAATTTTTTCCTGTTATTTACCCAGCTCTGCTCTTGTGACTGAGTTTATTGAAATGCATAAATCAGTGCTGAGTATTTTAGGAGTCTATCCAGCTGTATTTCTCCTTTAGCATTCTCTTGTGAGTGTGAAATATTGTGCCAAGAGCTTTATCTGTGTAGTTTACAGAATTTAGATAATTATGTAAGAAGTTGAAAAATTAATTTGAAAATAAAAATATGGTTTATAGTACAGAACTGTCCATAGCTGCATTTAAAAAAATCACCAAGACACAAGAACTAAGATAAATCTCCTTATGTAACATTTTTTCACTGTTTTGCACACCAAAACCTCATAGACCACCTCTATAAAACTGAAACAGTTTAAAGACAATGAGGGACATATCAATAATTGATTTTGAGGAATGGCCAATGTATAAAGAAAAGTCTTCTGAAACATTATCAACTGATTACAGGAAATTTCAACCTTGAAATACTTTGAAAGATTCATCTGTTGGCCTCATGGTTTTCACCATTTTGAAAGAAAAAAATAGAAGAACCAAATGTAAAATGCTATATAAAAAATAAAATCACTGAAGTTTACATCTAGAAATCAGTAATAATGACCTAGTTTCAATTGTGGCTGTTTTTCTATACTATACCCACAGAGCAAGCATAGTTGTATAATTGAGTTAGTGTATTTAGACAAGTATGTATGTTGTGAATGTTAGAAGAAATCGGTCTGATACTATACAAGCTTTAGTATAAACACTGTAAGCCTAGTAAAACAACCTTATCAGTTACAAGACAGCTCATCTACATTTTATAATATATTTAATTAGTGTTTATGGGTGTTAGATGGGACAAAATAATACAAAGTTCAACCAAAACAGATGGGGCTCCAACAGGATTTGTAAAATGAGTTACTTCACTGCTGGCAGCCTAGATCTCATTTCAGAGGAGTCAAAGCAGAACTGAGGAAGAAGAGGGAGAAAAAGGTCACATAGAAGATCTGAAAAACACACTTAATCCAGAAACCTTTTTTTGCATGTTTTTCCTCATTAATTTTGTGTGTTTGAAGTAATGTGGCAGCCCTCTGGCCTGCGGTAGAGGAATTGCCTACAAGAGGGTATCTTTATTTTGCTTTTAGGCTATAACCTTAATCTTATTGCATGTTTTGTGTATCAGAGAAGGAACCAAGAAGGTAGATAGCACTGTGAATTCAAACATGTACACTGTATAGACATTGCTTCATTAATGGACATAACCCAACCTCCTGTCTTGCAAAGGCATTTATAAGCAAAGCTTCACTAGGTATACAGAATATCTCACTTTTTTTATATGCTGCACACAAACTTATGGGTTTTAAAATCAAAATATGGATTTGGCACAACTAAGACCTGTGTTAAAAAAATAATTTAATTTTAATTCATAACTCGTCTTGCTCATGTCAGTGAGACTACTCATGCTGAAAACTTTGATGTGATTTACAAAAGCAAGGTCTTCATTATTAATTGTTAATACCCATGGACATTATTATTTTTAGTAAGAAGCAAGAATACTGACATGATCTCCTTTTTTTTAAAAAAAAATCAAGTGAAGTACGTAAATATTTCTTCTCTTCCAAGTAAAAGCAATTTTACTCCTTCTCTCCCAGCTATTTCAGAACTTTAACTCCTCCACCTTTTTCCTTCCCTTCCTCCCTTCCCTGCCACATTGTAGATTTACCTCAAGACAGTTCTTTTTGTTGTAAGTATTGCACACTTCCTTTTGCATTTTATATGTATGTCCCTGAGGGGTGTCAGGTCTTGTTTCATTGCCACTTCTACTGTTTCCACATTTGCTATGTTGTGGACAGCCAGCAGTTTCACCACTGGACATCTGAATGCGGACATCTACTGAAATGCTTTCTGAAGTTAGCACACTGTTTTAAAAGGAAAGACATCCACTGTGTATGTGGTAAGCATGCTTTTGTACAAAGTGCAGCATATACATGAAAGGGAGTGGATTTGTTTCTCCAAACACTTAAGTGGTTTTGATTTATAACTCCACAGGCATTTTGCCTAAGATTTTTTTAATTATTCCAGTCTATCTGGGATATAACAGAGACTGCAGATTTACTAGTTTAGATTATGGTGTTATTTAGTTTAACAGTGGCTTCTCCATTCTGGATACTGTTGGCTCACAATGTACTTCAGGGTTAAGGTAACAGGGAAACCAGGGAACGGGTTGACTTGTAATAATCATGACCATGGCTTGCAAAAAATTTTCTGGATAACTACCAAGAGATACGTTCAATGGGATGAATACTGTATATATTTGGCTGTTTCCTAGCAGCTAAATAAGAAAAAAACACACAATGTACTCCCTTGTATGAGTTCAATGTTAAATACAAAGTCTTAACTATTATTTATACAGAAAGGAAATCTACTCTGTCTCCTGACTGGTTACACAATAGCCATAAAAGATGGCCTATAAACAGTTAAAAAGCCAAAACCCTTTTCTTAGCCAGGACAGGAGAGTGTGGGAAACTGACTAAGCAAGACACCCATATAGAGTCTGAGATTTAGGCTGTTGTATGCAAGCTTGGGATGCTTTTGGTAAAAGTTAGGTGAGACAGTTGCATATGGTCACTAATTATTGTAAATGTCACTTTCTTTTATGTTTAGTTCCTTAAGATTAAAGAGTGCCTTGGTTTGAGAAGACTGACTGAACATTGCATTAACCCCCAGTTTCAGTCTTCTGAAGGGAACAAATGCAGGCACCCAAATCTAATTAAGTCTGTGAGGTTAAACACAGTTGGTTGTGCAGAAATAGCTGAGCAAACACTGAGTTTGTTGGGTACAGGAAGCAGTGTAGTTGCAGCAGCATGAAACTCTGCATGTGCTAATTTTCCCTCTTTTTCAGCCTCTCATTTAGAGTTTGGTCAGAGATCAAAACAGTACACCACAGCTTGCAGTATAAATGAGACATGGTCTACTGGTAGAATTAGTCCTCAGTTTCTAAGGGCTAATCTTGCAAGGTGCTGAGTGTTCCCACCCTATCAATTTCAGCTACACTAAGAGTACTTGATAATTCCTTTTAATTTGGTGTTACAAATTCTTAGTTAAAATCAGGCACAGGTTGGCGGCAATGGAGGTTGTTATAGCAGGAGAGTATCAGTACCTGGTAACAGATGGTAACACAGTGAATCTATTTATTGTTGCAGAAAGTGGACTATATGGAATATTTTTTGCAAGGTAAGTATTTTACAGTTTGAGTACTTTCTGGCATGACTATTTGTAATTAAGAAATTGCAGTCTGGATATAGGCTACAGAGGAGTTTTATTTTAAGGCTTTTTAACCATGTATTTGCTCAGCAGTTGAGAAACTTGACAGGTAGTAAATTCAGCTGCAGTAAATGACCCCAGTAAAACTACAGATTTCAGAAGTAATCTGCATACCCCTGAGGCATTTACTAAACATTATAATCTGGGACTAAATGTGAATTGGGAGAAGCAGTGTTTATGTGCTGTCTCTAGCTGTAAATGCAGCTGTTCTGCAAGCATAGCTAAGCCATCCAGGTTCACTGCACAGTGAATGGGAGCAGTAAAGCTCTTGAGACTGGGATTTAGAATAGTTGTAAAGGGAGTACAGCCCACTTCCAGGTGAGGAATGGAGCTGAAGTTCTGTCTCTTGCCTGGGCTTAGGTGCTTATCTGCACCCCTAAGACAGGCACCTCAGAGTGACTGGGGAGCCATTTGTTACACTCGGGCAGGATGGTGTACCTGAGCACTGATCACTGCTTGACTTTAGGGTGTAACTGATAAAAGACAGTTGCAGAGGCAGCAAGCATCAATTTAATGTCAGCCTATCAGTATACACTCACAACCTTCAACTTCTAGAGAAATATTCTAGCTACTGGGCTGCAGAGTAATTGAGATACTTGCGTTACTGAGCATTGCCACTGTGCAGCCAGAAATGTCCACAATTCATGGAAATAGCGAGGATGCTGGCAAGAGGCAACTCGCTTCAGGAGCTGGCAGGAAGCACAGGATTCCCTTCTGGATTTGTGACTGATATAGACAAAAGGTTTACAAATATTCCTGCTTACCTCTCTTATAAAACTCCAGTTTCTGTAGAAAAAACTCCATTTTAGCCCTCTTCCTTGAGCTGCTCATGAAGTGAGCTGCTAAGAGTGAGGTGGAAGAGGGGAACCGAATAGACAGGATAGACAGAAGGGTTGAAAAAAGGGAATAATGAGATGCACTAGGAGAAAAAAAAGGTCTTAATAGTGTAAGAGCTCGTGAGGAAGGGAAAAAGGAATAGGAGTAATGAGGCTAATGGGCAGAGACTGACAGATGAGATGACATTGGTGAAGGAGGAAAAACAAGAACAAGTTTAGAACATCATTAGAAAGTGTAATGCTAAGAGTTACAATAAACTCTGGTGTCATTTGGGACTCTGATTGCTTGATTTATTGAACATTGCTAGGAGCATCTATCATGCCAGCAGCCATAGGCTTAGCTATTGTGGGCCTCAGTGATGTCTGGAAGGATGTGTACTTTGTCTTTGATGGAAAGTTAGAGGTCACTGTGATAGCAATCCACACATCTCTGTGTAGCACTTGTACATCTTTTTGTTTTGTTTGAAGTGACTACTGCTGCTGTCTAACATAATTTTTTTAAAAGGGAAAAAAACCCACAATTGCTTTGGAAATTTCAACACTGAATTGAAAAAAATAAGCCTTGGTCCTCTGGTACAAACTTCAATGCTTCCCCCCCCCATTGTCATTTAAAAAAAAAAAAAAGAGCAAATAAAATATGTAATGTTAAAAGATATTAGCTGAAGGTTTTTTCATTCCATAGGCTAGGTTAGACAGCTTAAAAGTTTTTAAAAACTTATGGAGGATTGGACAGGTGATAGTTTAAGCTGTTGTTTCATATTGTAATCTAAATTTCTAATTCAGTTTTTATCACGCCAAAATATATAAAGTTTTTATTAAGAGTTAAGCAGTATTTTAAGTCATGTTACTAATCCCATTTTAATTGTCATTCTTTTAAAAAGAAAAGACCTTTTAGCAATGGACCAGTGCTAACTTACCCCAAAATCAGTTAAGATACTCTACTCTACTCGCAGTGAAATTCATTCTTAAATCATTATAGGTCCACCCTGTCAGTGTATTTTTAATCCAAATCATCGCAGACTTACAGTGATGACCCAAAGAAGCCAGTCTACTTATAACTTCACCATGATTTGAGTGGCTTTGTTTCAGTGGCTTTATCATGGAATGCTTTGTCTAAGTAAGTATTGTGGCTGCATAGAGTGGCAATGACTGCTTGGATGGACAACTGTAAGCAATAGTGTAAAGGACAGCTGATTTGTTATCTGCCTAAAACGGGAACAGGCTTAAAGAAAATAAACTATAAACTCAGAGTATTTACCTGAATATTACATCAGAATATTAGATTGTGACTGCTAATAATAGAGTTCTAGTGAAAATTATACTAAAGTTTAAAGCTAAACATTTTTTTAATGTTTTGTGTCACTTACCTGGTGGTGGGAACCACTTAGTGTTGCTCCTACATTCCTCACAACTTAGTGCCTATGTTTTCAGACTTTACTGCTACAGTGTCGCTTAGAAATGACTTGTCATTTTGAGGAAGCTTACTGGATGGGTAGCATCGTGGTTTATGCTCTAAGAGTGAAATGATATTGATCCTTTAAATGTTCTACCTCCCAGAGCTGTCTACAGACATCAATAAGCTTTTCTGTATTAGTGACTAACAAACAGTCCTTGAAATTGGAGAAAAAGCAGAGGTTTGGTTTGGTTTGCACTAGAGTTTTGTTTGGAGCATATAAAAGTGGAGACAGTTTCTTTATTGTTTTGGAGGGTTGATGGTAATTTTGTGTTTTGGAGGTTTTGGATTTTTTTCCTTATGTCTGCCCTTTTGAATGCTCTCCCATATTAGGAATATTGGACAGATGCCATATTCTATTGCCCTAAGTTCTGTATATTCACTACAGTGGCAAGTCTGCACATTTTTGTTTTTCTTAAGACTTCAGGGTGTCCTGATGCTTACTGAAACATTTCCAACAGCTTTACTAAGAGGTGGGGACAGGGCTTTTTTTCTGGCACAAAATATAAAAAATTTACTTTACACTTCTCCTAAAGGAGGTTGAACCCACCTATGATCAGAAATTGGCAGACCTGTGCATATCCTCAATAATTTTCTCAGTCACTGTTCACATTATTGAAACACATTCAGTGTCTTGTTTCTCTCTCTTTAGGTAATTTTGCCCATTATGTTTTGAGACAATCTTCTCACATAAATTTTATAATCATATAGCTCTATGGATTTCAATTTCTTTTTATCTTATTTACACCTCTGTAAATGTTTTCAGGTTCCCAGGAATACAAACATAAAAGTTACTTGTGTTTCTTTTTTACATATTTGGGGCAATCAGTTCAGTACAATCTACTGAGGCGAGCTGAACTTGAGACAAAAATAGAAAGTACAGGAGCAAATTTTTAAGACCGAAAAAGCAATTGTAAAGACATACATTGAATTCCCTTGAGCCAAGACCATTACTTTCAAGACCAACTGTCCTATTGTTCATGAAATTACTTGTAAAGCTCTTCAGAAAGTTTCTTCAAGAGGGTAGTGTAATCTGTATCATTTCAGGGATCACAGCACGCATACAGATACTGTTGCAAATATAATTATAATAACACTTAGGGTACCTGGATATCAGCAGTTTACAAATTTAGGGATCAACTCTAAAGATTCACTTCCATTTTCTAACACTTCCATTTTCAGTATTTGGATTGAGTGACCTCAATATATAATCTAGCTTTTCCTCACTGAAATCAGCTATTCCTGCTGTAACAGTACGGGAGTTATCAGGTAAATTGAGGGCCAAATTGGCTAAGAATCTATAAATTTAAGAGCTACTTACAATGAATACAATAAATGGAATAACCAACCATATTTCTAGACTTCCTTTCCTATTCAGTTGATGCTGTGAAACCAGATGCCAACTGTACTAGCTTTCTTGAAGACAGTGGTCTTTCTTTGTGGATGGCTTTCAGTTCACCATTACCAAGCCTATGAAGATAGGCTGAGGCTTAGAAAGGCAGTCAAGAATTGTGTTGACATGACACTGAAAAGAACCCTGTGGTCAGAATAAACTGTGAACAGAACTGTCAGAATAAATATCCTGTAACTATGTAATACCCTCAGCCCTTTCTGAGCCACATGGGAAGGATAAGGTTCAGGACCAAAACTCCAACAGAATAAATCAAGTTCTGATTACATCTTCTAACTATGATTAAGGGAAAGGCAGCAAACATGGCTGCTGATGTCCTAGCTTGAATATCTAGAAAAAACCTCTAAAGCATTATTTGTTAACCAAGCTGGCATAACTCAACACAATGACAGTATCTTACCATATTACACTGTATTTCTGATACAGTCACAAGTTCTGTATGCCTTGGAAAAGTCTTGCTGCAATAAAAGAGAATTTAGTGAACAACTCTGAAATCTCCCTTCAAAAATAAATTATTTTCTTATAGGCAGAGGGTCCTATCATGTGACAGATTTGTGTTCTCATTAAACACTACCTGCTTTTCCTTGTAATTTCTGTTCTCTCTTTCAGGCACAAAATCTTATCGATATAGGAATAAATACAGAATCTTTTTACCCTCACTTTTTTAGCTATTTCCACTTAAGAACAAGTAAGATAATGATGATTGTTTGTCCCATGTTTGAAATCAGTAATACATGATTATTACAGACTTGCATGATGAATCAAGACTGCAACGACTGAGCTCAATAGCTAATAGTCCATGGGAGCTGTCAGAGCTGGGCGGGTATGCAGAAACTGGATTTTGTGAATAATCTTTCAATTTTTTAAATCGAATCTGTTTCTACTACAGTCACACCCGTTTTTATCAATTATTCACTTTGCACTTTCCGGAAAAATACTTGGTTTTGCAGTGTGGACTATTCCTTCGAGCTATTTTACGGTTATGATTGTATTGCATTAGCGCCCAAAGCCTCTAGTCTGGATTAGCGCCGACAGCCCGCGTCCTCCCCAAAGCCCTTAGGTTTCAGAGACAGCTTTGCTGGAGACGGAGGGGAGCACGATGAAAGGCCACGGTGGTCTGAGAGGGACTATGAGCGCGTTAATTCTCTCTTACTGTTTCCATGGGCACGCATCCCCTCGCGAGGGCGGCGGCGGGGGCAAGCAGGGGATGGCACTCGGCGCTCGCTCAGGGTGGGCTCCCAGGTTTCCCTGTCCGGGGAAGGGCCAGGCAGAGCAGCCATGCCCGC